GCTGTGACTTTCTTATTTCAACCATCTGAAAGGACTTCAGAAACTGTGAAAAATCTCACTCAGAATTTTCGAGACCTCAGTCAAAGTGCGACAGGTTTTTCCGGAATACGAGACCGGTGCATTTCCACTTGGCTTACGCACACAATAATTTTATGATATTAGTGACTTTTAGGGTAGTCATTCTGTGACTCCACGCAGTTTTCTTCATTTTCCCCATTAAAACACCGAGATATTTTTAAACTGATCGCTTCCTTTTACATGCTTTCCTACGCACCATTCCTGTTCATCTGCACAAAATATTCTATATTATGTTAATTTGCATCATTGGAACGACATCGTTAAGTAAAATATCAGTGAATTACATTTCCCTTTGTTTTTAAGGGCCTGGCACGTCACCTCAATATTTGCTACACAGTAATTTGATGTAAATGCTCATTTTAAATGTTGTATCCCATTTTATTGGAGTCTGGGTCGTGCAGATATAAGCGTTACACAGTAAAGCCGGTCCAAAACGATACCTAAATTAAAAAGGAATTAGCGTTTGCAGAGTTGACTTACTTTAATAGACGACTGGAAAGAAGTAAGAAGAAGATTAAGCGAGAAAGAGAACGGGGAAGAAAGAAAGCAAATTTTGCAAAAGCTACCACAAATCTTAGTCGGCTTGACCCTCTTAAGCACCAGCCTCCAGTGACAAAATATGCTAAATATTACTTATTATTTTTTTATTCTTAACATTAATTCTGCAGGAAATAAATGTTCGCATTTCCCGCCAATATTTTGAAACGTCGAGGTTAAATTAAATTCCGAACTTGGGCCTTCAATTATTCTGCTTCCACGGTCAATAATAAAAAGAACGGTGTCTATATTAGATCAGAGTTCACGGGCAAGTTATTAAAAAGAATAATCAGTAAAATGGTTGTGTAACGAAGCGTTCGATCGCACTACAGTGCAATTTTGTTGAACGTTGTCCTTTCTCAAAGGAATATTTTATCCTTTATACGACGTTTAGGGAGTCATCTTTACTACCATGCACTGGTTACACTAATCGCCAAACCATAAACCTGGCGTAATAGTTTAGGTTTCAAGGAGTTTCGAAATAGATACCACCAGCTGTCTCTAAATCGAAAATAAAGACAAATATATTTGTAAGTATAATGATAAAAAATCACATAATGTCAGGGGTACAGCTAACTTGCTAAATGTCATGTGTATTAAATAGACCTAAGATATTAGACAACGTTCAAAATAATTTTGATATGATAAATATTGAATTTTGATTTACTGTCACGAAACTGTGTGGGAAATGAAAGCATGAATACTGTCACCAAGGAACGACTCTCCAAGCAGCCGGCAGTCTGTAGCATGCACAAGCACCCGTACTTTGGTCTTGAAGTGCCCAGCATGGGGCGCTGCCTTCTCGTAGCGCTCCTGAAAGTGGTGTTCGTTGCCCCGGCGATACCCGAACTCGTAGTGGTCGTGCTCAGGGTTGTGCTGGTACCTACATGCGACAGACAGCAATAAACAGAGTGAAGGGGCCAAGAGGGAAGGATGCGTCTCTCCTGCTACAGTGAGTTTCTTGCGAGCGCGGACTCAGTCGGTCTCTCCTCCCGCCAAGGCCGGCCGACCCGTAACGCGTAAGTTCGCTACACGGCTCGCTACGCCATTCAGATAACTCACTGTATAATCCAAACCTTTACCTTCATAAACGACGGTCTGATCGCGGTTTAACCATAAGTCTGCTGCCGAATAAATGCCAATACCAAAAATTTAGGTTAAGTTTAAGCTTGATTTTAGAAGTGTTGTTTCTTTGTGTATTTAATAACGTTTCCTAATTTGCATGTTTATGTTGCGTGAAATGGCACATTGACTGGTAAGTAAGCTATTACAACTCAGTAAGAAACTTCAGGATGGCAAGTCTCTTGGTCAAGAATCGAACTCTAGACCTACCTAATACGACGCAGGGTACAACTATTCAGCTATGCCGTTCGGTATTCACGTGTCTGTTTTATTTATTTTTTGTGAAAACATGCTAATACTTCGATGTTCGTCTACTGGATTGTAACACCGTAAACTAACAGAGTCTCTGGTAAAAAAAAAAAACCAAAGGCTCAGTACTGATTGGACACGATCCTGAGAAAATTTAGATTGTGTGAGTTTCCGTTTTTAATGTGTTATATTTGATTTTTTTTTTGTCGATCATTTTATATGCTTACGTTCTGTAGTCACTCGTGCGTTGAATCTGATCAAACAAACATTCCATGAATCTGTCAACGAATAAAGCAACACGCTTACAGCCAGTTAACGATGATTATTCTGGACACCGCTTTTATGTAGCTCTGGTCATTACTAATCTGTCACTAACAGTTATTGCCAAATATCCGATGTTCGTAAGCTTCCCATACGGACTGATAACTTTCGTTCGGTGTTGCCGAAATAGGAATGACGCTGATAGGAGTGGCGGTAGTGAATTTAAAAAGCCAGAAAATGAGTGAATAAGCTATAGCTTTGGCGAGCAGGGTGAATCTGAGAAGTCTGAAGAGACTGGTAATTGGTGGGAGACGAAATGCTGTTAATCTACAGCCGAAACATTCAGGTACGCAGTTCAGCAAACAGGTCACAAGTGGAATTAAGAAGAAGTCAGCGAAAGAATGTTACCACAAGCAGCCACCTGGTGTGTCCTCACGGGGACGTATTTCGCGCATGGGTTACTGCATTAAAACAAGTGGGTTAGCCACTTGGTGGCCTCAGTAAAATTGTATCGTGAATGGGTTTTCAGAAATCTGTTTGAAAACAGTTAGGTCCGTAACAAAGAGCGAAGTGGCACGTGCGCAGAAGAATGAGGCGCTAGCATTGTGAAGAAATGGAAATACGGTTTCAGTCAGTGTGTATTAGTGTTTTAAAGAAAACCAGGATGTTTGGGCTCTTAAGAAACACGTGAGAGCTTACATCAAGATGGCGATTATTATATCTAAGTGGAACAAGTCTTTGCCGGTACAAAAGAACGGCCCGTAGCCGATAATGATGCTGCTAATGTGCAGTTCTAATAGCTAAACGCTGAATATAATTTCTTTCCAGCTTTTAAAGCAGAAAAGGTGGGTGAGTCCATGAATCACATACTAATGTTTCTGATACACCTTGCCATTGGATCTAGGTGAATAACAAATTCATCTCCAGTTGTTTTAAACCCTTGGATAAGAGGTTAAGCTTAGAGCCGAGAAATCTATGTTTTTGCTGGGAATCGAGCCACATAGTGACTAATATTTTTGTAATGAAGTTTGAACTAAAACAATGATCCTAGGGAATTTTATAAAAATATTAAAGCGAAGTAAACAACTAATTCCTTACATAGGGCGTTCGTCGGGCATCTAATATGCCGAGTGTTCTTCTTATTGTAAGACTGAACGCCATGGAGAAGATATATTTCTTTTTAGCTTCGTCTTGCGACAGAGGATGGAAGTCAATGAAACCCACAACTCAGACGTCCCGAGATAATTTATTCAAATTCATATAACAAAGTTCTCTTCCCATGGATTCTGTTATAATATATTTATAAATCTGTTACAAGTTTAAGATGCTGAGCGGGATAGTAGTCTTGTCGCGTAAGGCGTATTTATACGCTGTAAGGTAATGGCATTGTCTGTTTAACAGAGCTAATGGGCAATGCAACATTCAAAGAATCCCGTTTTTTTTATATTATACTAAAATTTTTGGTATACAGCATGTTCCTCAAGTTTAGATAGTGTTTTGACCCGATCCTGGAGTTTATTAATTCAGTAATAACAGTTTAGTTTCGGTTTTCCTTTGTGTCAGATATCTGGATAGTGACGAAAATTTATCACGCATCAGTAATGAATACAAATATGCTGATTACTTGCCGTTTCGTAAACATTGTTCGAATAAGGTGGGTGGTGAGGCTGGAATTCTAGCTCACATATCTGTGATTAGCGTGAAATTGTCGTATTTGTCCCTGTTCCCACCTTTCATAAATTACCAATGTTAAAAAAAAATCCGTATTTCTCTAACAACTCAACCATGCCATTTCTAAGAGTCGCTTCAATGTCCCCCTCCCCGGCCAATTTACAAAACGTGGTAATTTTCATCAGTTTTCTTATACACCTCTATAACTTGTATTTGGCGAGGAAAATTTATCGTCTCTCGTCATAGTAATTATATTAAGGACCGATTAATTTTTCTGGCGCCACCATCTTGTTGTAAAATCTCATAATGAGCCTAACATCGTGGCCTAGAGGCCTAGAAGCTGAATGGCTTAAAAAAAAAACACTAATCCAGCCAACGAACGTAGCTTTACCGGCAGTTGTCATGGTGAGAAGAAGTGAGGCATGTAAACCTGTCAGAATAGCACTCAATAACCACTGTGAAGACAAAGAATGAGCCAGGTTCCAGTTAGAATAGCCCCGCAGAGGAAAATTCAAGCTTCGGTTAGAGTAGCCACATTGTCAGCAGAGTGAGAAGCCTATTAGAATAAGACAGACAACTCCTGATTACAATTGCCACTGTGGCGAGAGAGTCAGGGGTCGATTATAAGAGCCTTAGCAGAGAGAGACAGATAGGAAGAAATCCGTCGTGGCAAGAGAGTCAGCGGTCTGATACAATAGCCACTGTGGAGAGACAAAGAGAGATAAGGTAGCCGTAGTGGCGAAAGAGCCAGTACCGGTTACAGCAGCCACCACGAAGGGAGACAGAACAAGTTGCCAGCTAGCTACCTGTCCCTGATGTCGTTGCTTCGCTAGGTCCTTCTTCTCGTAGCGCTGCTGCCATTCGTGAGGGTCCTCACACACATGCCCAAACTCGATCTGATCTGGGCCGGACTTCAGCATGTAGAAGTCCCTGGTGTCAGTCATATGCCAAGCAATGCGAGCGTTTTCTGTCTTCCTCAGTACTTAAAATCACTTAGACATTATTTGAACAACCCATCTGAAGCGTTACTTTAACATGCAATACCCATCAGAACACCCAGCACTGAATGATGTGTTCTGCATTGTCATGAGAATACCTGTTCAGATAATGTGATGCTTCTGAAGTTAATGTGTGATGAGACGAGCGGGACGTCTAGTATTTGTGAAGGGAAATACATTCGCACGTGAATTTTTGGTTGGGAAACCTAATGGGAAGAGACATTTGGCATTCGCGTATATCAGAGAAACATTTAGTGAAACCGACTCAGTATAGGATCATATAATGTTGCAATGATGTTGATGAAATTTCAGATTCAGTAGAAGTTTAAAAACTGTTGGCTTTTAAAGGGTCACTGTACCACGAAGTTGGTTAATTACTTGTCGCCCTTATAATCTCTTTTGTTATTTCATGTAAGGACTTTATCGTAAAAGGAAAATGAGTATTTATCAGTGCATTGTAACAGTTATGGGAAGGAGATTTTGGCCTGAATATAATTTCATTTTCAACAAAATTACTTTACATTACTGCTGTGTAACTAATGGTTTTGAAATAATTCCCTGTATTATATCACAAGTATCTTAAAGTTTATGTTCCTGTTGTTAGCAAAACTGGTCGAAATTTTAAGTCACTCCACGTTAAAGTAATTCGTTATTATTAAAACTGACAAATGACGTCACATTGCCCCATCTGAAAATTAGCGACATTATTTATAAACGCGGTAGATTTCGTTTGCATTGGATAAATATTTATGAAATGTCAAAAAGGTGTGATTGTGTTGGAAAAATATATTACAATATAAGTCTCGTTTTGTAAGATTTATGAGAAAAACAATTTGTGTATAAACATTTAAATCGAAAGTGACTTTTAAATTGTTGACAATTTTAGTTAAAGTTAAATTCATTTCCATTTGTCATAATAAGAATTTGGTCTTGACATAGATTTGGCAAGTTACTAATCGCATGCTCTTTCTTTCCCTCACATCTTCACCAATGTTACTTACTGGAAATATTTCCCGTGTCCTCCTATACCCGCGGCCCCAAAGCCTGTCTCCGCGGCGTTGTGGTCAGAATCGGAATCGACCACGGATCCTGAAACACATCAAATAAAAGAGGTTATGAAGATCGAGTCCCATTTGTATAACGGTTAGACCGCGTGTGGTAGATGATGTACCAGTTCCTAATTCAAGGTCTTTGATGCAGACTCAACCATTACACCTAGTGTGGAAGAAATGCATAGATTATATATAGTTTTAAGCTTGTATATAAGTAAAATATATAATATAATTCAGGTCTATACACAAACTTTATTTACAGATGTTAAAATTTAAAATTTGCGCTATTCATCGTTACTACGATGTTACAATACTGCGATGAATAGCGCAAATTTTAAATTTTAACATCTGTAAATAAAGTTTGTGTATAGACCTGAATTATATTATATATTTTAATTATAAAACACAAACATGACGCATTTAAACTTTAAACTTGTATATAAGTGTCTGTTTTGAATTCTCTGATGTGTTAATAGTCGCTATTAATCAGTGTAGATGAATCAAAAATACATCAATTGCATGTTACTGATGCCATAAATAATTTAATTCTAATGTTCTAGATTTTTCATATATGATATGTCCGTATGATTGTTAATATAAACTCATATATATTTATTTTTAACGCAAATTCGCTTTCATTTGTGCCTCGGTTTTTCTTCGTTTACAAACTTGTTTTAAATTAGATTCGTCAGGCTATAAACGTTCCAATTAATCACATAGCTAACCAAGAACTTTCCCTTCCGCCATGTTGAATTTTTCTCCCTACGTAAAGGATAGGCTGTAGCTATATTTTTTGTGTGTGAAATTAATTATGCATGCCTTGTTCTGTATTTCTCTTTAGTTTAGAACGCTTTCAATTTTCTTACTGTTGAAAGGAGTTTCTATTAAAACTCAGATACTGAGACTCTGGAAGAGATTCCTTTTTAAATCAGCTTCATAGAATAATTAATCTGCTTTGTTAGTGGAAAGTTTTGTCAGTCAGTTTTCATTTAATATATGCAATCATCCAATCATTGCTTCGATGTATCGTGTAATATTTTGTCTTATAAGTATTATATAAAGCAAAAATTCCTTCTGTGGACTTCCATAATTCGTTCTCTTGTCGTCTAATTTTATTGGGACAATTAAGCTCATCAGTGAAATTCGTAGTGTAAGTTTTTTTTCATTTTTGTTTCAAATGTTGTGTCTAAGTTCATCAGCATCACGTTCAGTGTTCACGGTTTGTGCGAAAACATTTACTGATGTCAATTAATTATCAGATAGCTACATGCTAAAATTAGCATCGATATTTTCAGAAGTTCAACACTGTGTGGCTTCCAGAAAGAGACGGTCTAGGACTTGGGGAAGCACTAAAAGTGATGGCTTTTTTTTTTTGAGATTTGTGTAACTTCAAAATCAATAGAACTGACGCAAGCTTCACCTCCTTAATCCTGAAAGATTCAAATGCTCGTACATGAGCGAAATAAAGCTTGAAAGCAGATCACTCGCGAAACTTAGCGTAAGTTAAAGAATAATATTCCAGTGGATCTTGCGGAAACAGTGTACGAAGAGCCCGCTAAGGTTACGGTTCAGTCAGCTGGCTTTCATGATGGTTATATCTTCAGATTCCATATGAACAAGAAATTTCCTGACAAAATAAGCTTAGTTCTCAAATAACCAGGGCAGATAAGTCGACTTTGACACTGTCCATGTTAAGTTTTAATACAGGAGGCCTTTTCACATTGATAAGTTCCCATGGCAACGTATGATCTTTCGCTGTTGAAAATTCACAAATAACTTTCGCTGTTAAGACGTGGGAGGAGAAGATCTTTAATCCACGTTGTCAAACACCAAACGATCCCAGATAATGAAGACCGATATTTCTAAACTGGATATCGATTATAGCATGGAAGGGGTTGGGCGATTTATCAGTCGTTATTATATTTTAGCACATCGCGACTTTCAGTGTAACCGTTGTGTGTTTTTGTTTATTTGTTTATGGTTTATTTAACGACGTTATAGATAGCTCAGATTGTAGAACGTGGAAAGGGAAGACGATTAATAAATAATGAATCGCGAAGAATGTGGGAGTTGGCGGTCGCGGTGTGATTTGGACATAGTGTCCCGAGGACAACCACTGACCTCCCGAACAAGGAACAGAAGTGCGTACCACTCGACCGTGAGATTCGGTGTAGCCCAACTGTTGTGTAACAGTTATTCTGTGGTCGGACAGACGCAGTTCCGTGTAATTAATTGTGCCGCTTCGCTACACTTTGTCTGAAATGAAAGCGCTGTCAGGACCGGAACACATTCGCAGTTCGAGGTGTGGCTGTCTCCCTGCAGTGAGCCTTCCTAAAGGCGTAACTAGCTACAGTGAACAAGGAGGAAGTGTCTCTCCAAGTCATCCCTACTTTCACGGACCGTACACTGTTCTCGCAAACGAGGTTCTGGCGACCGAGGTATATCGGCATAATCCATTGTGGAGGCAAAGCCGCTCCCTAGTTCCAGAAGTCAGTTTCATGGCGATGCATCCATAATGTTTAGTTCAGTTTAGATTTAAATCGCTTGGTCACATGTGTCCAGAGAAGCTGAGATAGTATGCGAAATCTATTATTAAATGGACGAATTAATTAATTACACGTGTCACACTTTCTTGGCAAAAATAAAGGTTTTTTATATTAATCTATAAATATTTTTGTGCAAAAAGAGGGGAATCGCCAAAGCGACGTAATGTTGCGTGCAACGGAAAAATCTCTTGAGAAACGAGTTTGCTGTGAGCTTTTTTGGAGAAACGTCTGGACTCGGCCCTGCTGATGGAGTGTGTCGGTAAGGCGCCCCGTGTACTCACTCACCTTTGGTGTGCACTTGCTTGGGGACTCTCTTCCCGGTTCCTGGTTCCCCGACTTTGGCCAATACTGCTGGCAGCACCACGAGTAGCAGTACCGCCACCTGTCACCGTAATCACCAGTATCATCAGAACATTACACAGTAGCAGGAAACCCGTCCGTTCTTAACGAGGGGCTTGTCTTCAAATTAACTGTACTAAGACAATTAAATTATTTCTCTGACATTATTATTCTTGTTGACCAGTGTTTTCTTATTGGCTGACTTGGCGTCGTATAGTGATTTATTCATTAACGGTTGCCATGATACGAAACAGGGATTCTCTTATAATCTGAAATCAGTTATGATCGCCTTGCAACCAGATGAGCGACTGACTGTAATACATATTTTAATTCTACAGAACACTGGTTGGTTTATGTGCTTACAATCTGAATTATTATTCAATAAGTGAACATTTCCTCTACAGAAACGTAATGTGGGCGAAATGTTGAGTTATTGAATGCTAAAAAACTTGGTACATGCATTTATCACTGTATTATGATAGATTAACTCATGCGATGTCTTCTTTGTATGATTAATTTTTCGAGTTTTAAAATTTTCCTTGCATCCACACATTGACCTAGTCTTAAAATTAAAACGTTAGGAACACCAAATAACTCTGCTGTAAATAATTTATGGTTCTCGAAACGTTGGTATCCCGACAAGAATTTGTTATAATTCAAATTAATTAAAATTACGTGGAGCGTTTCGTTAGTTGGAGTCATGTTTATTTTCAGCTTATACTAATGAAATAAATAATTTTACTAAACAAAACTCATTATGGAAAAGGCGGCACATTTGATGGAAAAACACGATATCAACAAGGAAATAACTGTAATTTCACAACCGTTGGAACCGCTTAAGATGGGAATGATCTGTAAGTTCGATTTGCATCCACGAGCGAATTCAAAGCCTTACCTGAGACATCAACTGTTCCCTCTTCATGTTGCTGTGTGAACTTTTGATGTTGTCGGTTGATTTGCCCCGGCTTATATACCCCATCGAGTTTTCCCCTCTTTGCTTCAGTGGGCACGCGTTTGCACGAGATACCGGTACGGCCAGAACAAAAACCGCATCGACCGCGCTGGGACCACAGACCTACATACCAACCGCGTACCATCCTCTGTGAAGTCGTCACCAGAAATAGCAAAATTCACATCATATTATCACATTTTTTCAGATACATAAGAAAAGAGTTTTTGCTCCGCCACTTCTGATCCCGCGGAGGCGTTTTTCACTTCGCTGCTTTCATCACCGTTCATCATCTCGATTTTACGGTTTTGATGTTGCACGCGTTGTTATGATTATATTATGTCTCTTGTTCAGATAAGAGTCTCAAGGTTGCAAGTTTAGTTCGTTTGTTCTATTCTTACAATCGTCGCTTACAAAACCCGTGAACAGATTTAAGCTTTTATTGTGAGTTTTTATATTTTGTGCAGAATTAATGTGGTGAGCACACAGGGAACATGTTTCTCGTCCGTTTTATCACGTACCTCATAAGATATTGTAGGTGCGTCATATTGTGATTTATTAAATAGTATTAAAAATATATTAAAATTGGCCGTCAATCAGCTATTTATTTTGTTTTCTATATTCAATTTTCATTAATAGTATTGAAACCTTTACTTCACAGTCCAATAAACACAACATTGGCATCACTACGAAATACAATCATATTAGTGACTTGTGACACAACAACGGATGAAGATACAATATGAAGGACGAGAACATGATAAGAAAAATGAAAACTAAAAATCATTAAAAATCAGTAAAAATCAGTAATTCAGTTAAAAAGTTTATAACATAACACCTGATGATGGCTATATATAGCCGAAACATGTCGTAAATGTTCCACATGTAAATCGAGTACTCGATATGGAACGTAAAATGATATTTTAATCTTTTAATTATCTTATATTGTGATTGACGGCCAATTTTAATATATGTTTAATACCACGTACCTCATGTATAATACTGCTTAACACATGACTAATTCTACGGAGCAGAGTTCTTGCTGATAAGCTGATTATTACTCAGCTAAGAAATCCCCTACCTTTTTCCCCATGTTCACATCTTATCCTTATCCTAAGTCAGACAAATCCAGTTCACATCCTCACTATTTTATTAAATTGCATTTTGATATTAGTATCCTTCTACCTACGTCTATTTGTCAGAAATTTTCCGACCATCAACTTTCAAAATTTTATAAAATATATTGCATATATCATATTAACTACTTACGAAAAGCAATGATGTAACACAGTGCGAATCTTAGGTTCTTTCAGGTTACATAACTTGAAGATTTTCCTCCATGTACTCACACACATAGCACCGTCTCAAATAGCGAAAGTATTAATACAGCCTAATAATGACAAATATATTCCTTATTTACTGTTAAGTAACACAGAATAGTGGAGTTAAAAATCCAAGCATTCTAATCCGTAACAGTAGATGGTGATAGGAGGTCAGCTTCACGCTTCGGATGGCAAACCCCTGTGACTAATCCCCGATACTCATCTGATAATAAAAAAACATTAATTATTACAGTGGGCTAATATTTAATAATGTGTAGAAGAGAAAGTGATCTGCGATCAAAGGAAGATTTCTTAAAATAATCTTTTCTAACGGCTAAGGAATGTTTTTATTTCATTTACACAAACAATTACAATAAGGTAAACAATCTTTAATATATTACATTAAACTCAATGAAAAGAGTAACAGAGGAAACACAGGAATATATATCGCAAATCAATTGTTAGTTTCTTGAAGTAACTCAGAGCTATTGAAGAAAAAATGACGGCAGGAAAAACTGAATTCCAGTTAAGTGGTGGTAGGTTTCATTCTACAGTGTACAATTAGTAGATATGTCACTTCTGGCAAGAGCTTTGCGTTTCATTTTTATTTAAAGTGTTAACGTGCTTAAGAAGAGATATTTTGAGTAAATTGCAGGATTTGTGCCCCCACCCGACTTCGAAATAGATTTAAAACACATTGGCCTCCTCAGATCTATTTTTGATTCAGCTGAAAATTATTTAATTCCCAAGATGTGGGGTGTGGTCAGTTATGAAGTTGTATGTAAGGAGCATGTTAGAGTTATCTGAGTCTTATTAGTGCATGGTGAGTTAGGTTGTTTTATATGCATATAATTTAGTATTATATTGGTATTTTGGCTATCTGAGTCTTATTAGTGCATGGTGAGCTAGGTCGTTTTATATGCATGTAATTTAGTATTATATTGGTATTTTGGTATTCATTCAATTGTTGGTTGTACGAGAACATTGGAGCAGTTGCACCAATCCTGCAAAATTACCATAATTTTTTTTAATCGTATTTATGTGTTTGGATTCTTCTGAGTTTTTACCTGTTTCGGAGTTGCTACAAATTTAATTTTATATTTTTATGTTGTTTTTGTTGTATTTTCCCATTTTTACGTTAATTTTTTAATATCTTCTATTTGCTAATAAGGATTCTAGCTAATTCTTTGCATATTCCTAAAGTCGAAAAGTGTGTTAGACTGTAGTTCTAGCACAGGGGAAGGCGAATCAGATGTCAGAATGACCAAAATATTGACTAAATTTCATAGTCTATATCAAGCATTAATTATTTAAATGGTTGTCTAGTCGATAAGCTTTATGTACATTTACTGTATTTACGAGTTTCTTCTACTTGTCATTCTGGCAAATAATCTTTGTGATGTCGAATGTTGTTAGTTTATATTTTTGCCACTATCACAGATTACTGACGATATTGATCATTGTAGCCTTCGGAAATTTCCATAGGCGAATTTCTACTTGGTAAAAATGGTTTTATTATCTGTATAACAACACTGAATAAGTTGGTGACGTATTTAAAAGCAATTAAAATGGTGTTATATTTCATGGCCTTCGGAAGGTTCCATGCGACCGGAATAAATGTTTCTATTGTCGCAGTAATAAATAACCAGGGAAGTGGAGTTTAATAGGTCTATGCCAAGTAGCTTCATCCTCTGATAGGATTCATTTAAATCAAACCACCGTCGTGAAATCTCATGCTGCTAGATTGCTATTCAGGTTCGCTGAAGCGCGCGAAATCCTCGAAAACGATGTCTTCGTCGTCGGAGACGTAACGGGGGTTCTCGCAGTGCGATCGTTCGATGCTCCTGCTCTTCTCGAGTGCCTTCGCCTTTTCACGCTCGGCTGTACCTGAAACGGACGCGAAATGGCGGTCGTTAACCTCTAATATATTTTTCAGTCTTATTTTATTCCCATGACCAATAACTTTTCTGAAGGTTAACTTATTAGTCCACGTGAGGTTTAATGATAACCGTGAAAGGCGAGCAAGTAAGAAGTGGGGATTGGGATGTACATAGTAGTATAATCCTGCAGCATACAGGTGGTCAGGAACGAACCAAGAATCTTTTAACACTAAATCTGTGTGGTAATCACTTATGTCTAGTGTAGTGACAGCCATTCACTTAAAGGTGGAGGGAGACACAATTTCTGATTTCCGATGCGTCGTGTTATATTAACTGTACCACATACTGGACAATGTCCAACTTAGTGAATAATTTATTGTCCTGAAACCTTTGGAGATTTACGAACTTGAGGAACGCGGTTACTCACCCGGTGCAGGGTGGAGCAACTTAAGTGGCACGTCCGTGACGAGTTCGCCTCCCAGAGTACCACAGTTCAGCTTCACGCGCAAGGTATATGAGATGACAATTCCAAGAGAATCAGAAGGGGATTTTCCTTCTGCGACCAGCGTGGAGGAGGCCAGATTCACGTCGTCATCCTGAGAACAATCAGTTAGCCAGTCAACCAACGAGTTCAGTTGTGTATACTCCTGTGGGGGTTTGCACATTCCACATCATGGAGGAGGCAGCAGTACCTGTGCACTTAAAACTCTAATTTGCGCTGTAGTTCTTGGAAAAATTCACGTAACAAGAAGCTCTTAACCTCTCCGGTAGGACTATGCTCCACAGTGGCAGAGTCCTCGGAGATGCCAATAGTGAAGAGAACGTACCTTGAGGTAACCATCCAAAGCTATTCCATGCTTGTCCTTGTTGCTGGCGGCGAGGGGCAGTAAGTAGAACACCTTGGTAAAGGAAGTGCCAGGTGTGATGGGGCAGCCCTCCCGGGACTCCATACTGGCAACGTTCCGCGAGTATTGAGCCTTCACCATCGTGATTTCGCAGTGCTGGACCACGTACACCTTGGGCAAACATAGTTTCCGTAAGAGTGGGCCTGAAGATCACTGCGTCTGTTCTGCAGCAAGAGGCTAGCGTCAGAGTGGCTTCACTCACATGTGAGAAGCGTTAAAGATTGTCTTACCTTGATGTTTCGCACCGACTTGCGCGAATTATTGGTCACGACGACGTTGGCGGCCAACCTCTCGCCGTGGTAATACGTGTGTTTGTCGAGAGTGACCTCCAGGTTTAGTCTGCCGTCCGAGAACGTGAATCCCTTGCTGGCAACGGAGCTGGGGAGCCGGAACTCGCGCTTCGAAGGTGCGTGCTGTAGCTGTAAAACGATTTATTGCAAAGTTGGGTGAGAGAGCTTTTGCGCTTTTGAAGGGAGACGGCTGAGGACCCTATTTCTGACATTCGACTATAAATATTACGCCAAACCATGAAATTCTGATCCAGGATATTTGAGTTTACCAGCCACCGTACTCTGCATTTTCATTTACCATGATTAGGTTACGAGTCGGAATATTGGGATTCGACTCCCGACAAGGACAGAGGTTTGTTTATCTTCACCACCGCTCTGTGCGTACTGGCTGTGGGGTTCATCCAGCCTCCTGTCGCTCCTTCCCCGACAGTAAAACGGCAGGGTCGAGACCACTCATCTCAATCTGGATTCCAGGTTAAGAACGTCGACTTCGCCATGTGTCTTCATTGTCGTGGTGTTTAATTGAGCATCAGGAACAAAGTTGCCTTTGCTTTTGACGTAACTGTAATACTGTAGATATGTATTTACGAAGTATCCGGGCCTAAGCACTGAGTTATCGCCCAGCCTCACTGCGCATCTTCGTTGTTTTTTCTCCAGACGAATGCCGGGATTGTGTCTTAAAATAAATCGTACTACACAGAAATCCACCACTTCACAAAATGGCGAGAGTAGTCACTGTGGAGTAGCCTAGTCAGCCTGATCGTTGGGTATGTGTTTGAAGTAGTGTCGATGGGTTTTAAAAATATGTAAATAAAATTGTTCGGCAATAGACACGAAGTCACAGACATAGAAATGAAAAATGTAAGAACTGCGGCGAGCGTAAATATTGTTAAATTAGTGACGTAGAAAATGAAAGTGAGAGATCCTGCAAGAATGAGAGTGAAAGTAAAGACGAATCAACAAGAAAGAGAGACAAAAATGACGACTCAAAAGTGGAACCTTTTTATCTAACATTTAAAATCCTTTTTGTATCAATTTTATGAAAATTATCTCACAATGCCAGGAATATATTTGTTCGTTCACAAAATATGATACACCGACGAAAGATATGATGATTCTTTTGATAGACTGTAAAGAGTGTGGAAGCAAGCGGTCGTGGTATATTGTAATGTACCTTTCCAGTACTTTTCATGGAAAGAAATACCAGGATAAATCTGAGTAGAATCGCCAATGTGAGGGCCGAAATTAGACTGTGGCACCTCCCTCGTTGGGGGCACTAACGCTTAACATTTCATCACACGCTGTTGAAAGAGGATTTGTTACCTTCTTGATGGCCAGAGAAATGGAAGAGCGCTTGTGACTCTTCTCCTCAGGGTTATCAGCGACGTAGGCCTTGACGTTGTATTCGACACCCAGGGGCTTGGCCGTGTCATCGTCGCCAGTCTGCAGCGTCACAGAACTGGGCGCGTTGGGGGGGAACTTGAACGTGAAGGGGTATGCATTTGGGCCCAGCTTCTTCATCAACCGCTCCTGGTAATCCGTAAAAAAAGACAACATCGAATTAAAATATCGCATTTTTAAAATATAAAAATCGCGTATCCCTTCCTGGCCATCATTTATATTTGAAACAAAAGACTGTCGACAAAGATATTCCGCACTCCCTACAAGTGCGCTTAAGTTATTTCTGACTGCATGAATATAAAAGGGATATGTTGCAAATAATACTCAAATAAAAATTTTGACATCACCTGTATGGGCGTTAGACCTGTCTTCTTTTCCTCGGATGGTACAAGTTGTTCGTGTGCCAGCACCAGTGCTTTGCTGAACTTTACGCCCATCACCTCGTCTTCTTCCCGCCCATAGCGGTACGTGGTCGTCACTTGTCCATATAGCTTCCTACCCTTGAGGTATTCGCTATCGACTACCACAATGCCATCAATGGGGTCGGCATGGTCTGAGTGGTCTATGAAATCTCTCTTACCGAGATACACTGTGACCTTGCCTGAAGAAACAAATACAAGATGGAGGTAGGTGTACGAGTGTTAATTGCAAGCTATAACTGTTAGGTTTCAGTGGCAGAAAATATTTGATTCAGATACAAGAAAGATACAGCCACCAACTACAAGAACACTTGAAATGGCTTTTACTTACCATTTGGAGTTGTTTTCTTAAAGACCTTAACCGCAACTACGTAAGCGAGAAGGAGTAGCGGAAACATGAATGCTGTAGAACGGAAGTTTTTCTTGGAACTACAAGAAGTTTCTAAAGATGTTTTCGTAGGGCTGTTTGAATGAATTGTTAACCACTGAAATCTGAACAAGTTTGCTAAAGCTGTTGACTGAAGGAAAACCCGGCTTCTCACCAGAAGTGATAATAGCCCTGACTCTGCAACCAGCTTTATATCGGGCACCGCGGGGCTTCGTCAGTAACAGGATCAAGAGCTTAGTGAGAAAATTCAATTGGTGAGAGAATCTGTGGATGATGGGTTCAGGTACAGGAATAAATGCATTATGGATTAACGAAAATTGGAAACTCGTCACTGAGGGTATGTACAGCGGTAGAAGTCACCTTCCTGAAGACTTAGGGCTAGCGCGCACGAGAGGTTTTTTTGCCGCAGCGGTAAAACTACCACAACTGCATATTGTTGTTGCCTTTGCACACGAACGGTGAAATAAACGCATTGTCTGCGTTTTCTTTCCAGTTGGGAGCTGGGTTTTATGAAGATAATTGGCCTGTGCTCTAGGCCGATAACTCGAGTTATGGATTTTGTTGAGACTGTCGCTGCGTCCGGTTTTTGCTAAGAGCAAGGGCAAGGCGTAGAAATAAAATTTGGTTCCGTCCACTTGTAAGATTGTTGAACGCCCAATTTTACAAGTTATATGAGGACCTGCCTATGTTTCCGAAGAAATTATTCAGATACTTTTATTTTTTGTCAAGTTTGCTCGAGTTCGGCAGTAGAGCTTCAGAGACTTCTGTCCATACGTAGGGTTCCTTCCGTTCCATTGCAGCCGCCAGCCGCTGTGCGGCCACGGCACCGCATCGAAAGTGAAGCATTTTGCGGCAGCGGTAAAACTACCGCACGTGCACTCACAGTGCGTTTCATCAATGCGGCAGAAAAACCGCTGCGGCCCAAACCGATCGTGCTCGCTGGGTCTGATACAGTTAATCTTCAAAATAATTTCTCCGGCAATAACCTAGGACATATCCAGAATTTCTCCAAAAATTCTCCAGGAATTCTCCAGCCCTTCACTATGACTCAAATATTTACGTAAATCGTCAAAAGGACTTTTCCGGCACTAACCTATTACTTATCCGGAAATTCTCCAGGAGTTCTCCAGCACTTATCCAGGGCACCTCACAACCACCTCATAACACGCTAGTAATTCTACAGTACACAACCCAACCCATCATAAAACAACCCAACTCTATCGAACCTAACCTACGAAACCTAACCTAACATAACCTAACCTAACCTAACCCAAGCTAACCCAAAATAACGCAACCTAACCCAAATTAACTTATACCAATCTAAATTCAACTAATCTTACCTAACTGACAACACAAGATCAAACCCACCGCCTAAGGACTTCAACAGAACCTTTCCAGGACTTCTCCAAAAATTCTCCAGCACTTCTCCAGTTTTCAGTGCTGTCTTTGTGGCGAGTCACCCGATTTGGGTCTATTTATAAGCAACATGATTTCAAACTCATGTCGGTTTGCAAGGAAACAAACTATGTAATTTAGATAAGGCTGCTCACGTTGAGTAACGGCATGGACTGATAGGATTCTAATGGGAAACCATGCTTTTACCGCTGGTAATTAGTATGGTAGCAACAGTTCAAATCCTCTTAGAAAGTGGACTCGTGCGGTTTTTTGTACCGATTTAATTGTCAAAACGATTTATGATGGGCCGGGTTTGGTGTGTGGGACGAAGACATATAAAAAGTGGGATTTGAGGTTCTCACGCCAGTGATTATGAAGATGGGTGATTTCTGGGTTGTAGCACCGCGTCGTTTTGTGAAGTGTACCGACGTTTCAGAGGTGCTTGCCGTTGCTATTAACATCATCACGTAAGGAAAATTCTTAAAAGAGAATGTGGTTTACTTTTTTTTTTCCTGACATTCAGTTTACCCAGTAACCAAGAACTGAAATTGTAGAGTATTTTTCTTTTAATTCAGCTAACAAGCAGTTGTGTCTATCTAACACACTTCCTATTGAGAGGGAAGATAATTTATGTCGAGGTTGGTTATGCTGTGGTCGAAGAGTTGCGTAATCGATTATAGGTCGTTTGATGAATCGCTTTAGTTTTGGCATTTGAAGCAGTAGTGAACATGTGATAGCAAAAGTTAACGCTGTAATGTTTACTGTGCACATCTAGAAATGCAAAATAAGTAAAGCCCTAATAATGGTGTGAATGTGTAATAAAACTGGTGAGTGTGTTGCACATTGGCTTAGGAATGTAAGGAGCTGCGAACGTATATAATGATTGTTGATGCCTTTTAGGCTATTTGTCATGTTCTCTTTGTGACAAATGCATTTGCTGGACATGGTTTGGTAATCTTCATGAGATTCAGCCATTGTTTAACAGTGTAGATGTCAAATATAAGGGGCCCATGATTTTAAGTTTGGTGTACAAAAATCCTTTTTTTAAAGAGCAGTATAGTGTCAGTTTTACAAGACAAGGAGTTGTATTTTATTCACAGACATGGAATGTTATGATTAAATGGGAAGATCAGACTGAAATCAGATGCGTATGTTAATGGTTCTTTTGTTAGGCTTTGCCGTGAAACAATGCCAACATTCCTTACACCAAACCGCCATGGTTACTCCGTTCGCTTCTCTCCATTCCAACCAGAAAGGATTGCTTGTGCAACATCTCAGTACTTTGGACTTGCTGGTAAATATAGAATCTTATAATAATATCCGAATTGTGCAATATTTTGATAGAAAATTTGTCTTCATCCATTGGTCTGTTCAGGAATTTATGATGCACTGTACAATATGTCTGAAATTTGGTAAAGAATATAGTTATTGTTAACACTGGATAGGTATGATGATCTTCTCACAAAGTGCTTTTGTTTTGCAGGAGGTGGCACTCTGTTTTTACTAGAGGTTGTTCCTGATGGTGGTTTGGTGGAAGTTGCATGTACACAGTGGTCAGATGGGCTCTTTGATGTGGCATGGAGTGAAACTGATGCCAACATCATAGTCAGTGCCAGTGGTGATGGTGGACTTCAGCTCTGGAATATGAGTTGCCCACAGGTATTAGACATGATGGTATCATGTCATTTTTAAGCAGATATAAATCTCATTTAGTTGCCCTGGTGTTAATGACCATTTGTTGCAAAAGTTACTTACAAAATTTCAAACTTTCTCATAGTTATCTTTTATATCTGTTCTGTAGGATTCACTAGACATAGTTACTACTAATCTGTGATAGTAAGTAGTTATTTAAATACTTACAGTGACACAAATTTCATGTAAAGTTACTTCAGAAGCTAAATAAAGCTTCTGTTAATTTTGGCAGCTTCCACCTCAGACATTCCGAGAACACAAGAAGGAAGTCTATTCTGTTGACTGGAGTCAGACAAGGCAGGAACAGTTTGTGCTCTCTGCATCTTGGGACTGCAGTACCAAGCTGGTGATTATAAGTACCATTAATTGTTAGGTTCATAGACTATTATCTGTATTGTACAGTCTCAGGCAGAATGGGTATGTATCACTGGAAATTTTTATGTTGATATACTGGTTCATGATTCACGCAATGTTGTGAACCATGCTAATAACAGGTTTCGTGAACAATCTGATGACATTTTGGATTCCATAAAATCATGTTATTTTTTGGCCATCTGAGTATGTGTTAGATGTGTGAAGACTCTGTACTATGAGTGTTGTTATTTGTTTTTAGGTGTAAGTAATAGTGTTAAAAATATCATATATTTTTAATGTTGATCATTCTTTTGGGTGTGGTCACCACGTGGAACTGGGCAGCATATTCATCTGTGACACCTGTAACACAGGCCACTTCTACATGGTGACAGCACCCAAAAGCAGAATGAGTGTTAACAGTGAATCAGAATCAGTTATCATGCATTCTGTTCAGAATGTCAGTGATTTTGAGTGAAACCTATGTTTAGAGTACTGTCATGTTTGTATGGTCATGTTATAATGTTACAGTGGGATCCAAATCGACCAAACTCCTTGGCAACGTTTCTAGGCCACACTCAACTTGTATACAATGCAATGTGGTCTCCACATGTTCCATCATGCTTTGCCTCTGTATCAGGTAATTATGATTATGATCAAGGGTACATGCTAAGTATAAGCAGATTGATCTAGTGGTAAAACTGTAGACTTGTATTTAACTGGTGTCTGTTTTGAATTTTAGTCATTTTATCAATAATCCTGCCTGTGATTTCTTTTTTGTTTTCCTCAGTCCTTCCAATTGAATGGTGGGGTAGTACCATATCCTTAATGTAAGTCACAGTTACTTCTTTCTAAATCGTTATCTTCTTACCATTTATGACCATCTTACTATCTGTCTGCTGTTAATTTTGTGTGTAGCTGAAACAACTTCATTAAATAATTAATAGTCACAGAGCACGTTCAGATACTGTTGCTTGTTTCTAGACTTTTATGATGTTGCACTATCAGCTACTGCAGTTAGTGTTATTGCCAGAAGATAGTGTGAGGATGGTTAATAATGGTGACTTAAGAGAAAATTAGACATTACTAATTCTACAGTTTCTCTCAAGAGAAACTTAAAGAAAAATATAGAATTCTGTTTAGGCAAATTCAGTAAATGCTTGCAGGTACATCACAGTGTTTGACTTGTTAAGTTGATACTGTGTACAAGAATATCTGTGTAAACTGATCAGATTTATTTTTCTTCTTCCTTATTCATCATTATCATCCACCAACATTCAGGGTACATCAGGGTAAGTCATCTTACAACAAAGTCTTTTCCATTCCTGTGTAAACCTCCCATAAGATTGAACCATGTA